ACCTATCTTATGAAGGATACTGAGTGGTACGAACACCAACATCACCGAGAAAGGGAGATGGGTGTTGAGATATAATAGAGACTAGAAGATTGGCGAGAGACAGTAGAGAGCGTTTTACGACCAATTCAGCGGTTTCCGGAACACAGTGAGTCAAGAGTAAAACACTCCCCGCATAAACGTGTATTGCCCCCTCGTCTGCTTAGAAAGCAAGTACCTGCCTCAATGCAGAACATGTTAAGCAAAACGCTTCAACATGTACAATTTTGAATCTGTATTTTTGAATACGATCTTAATCTGGCGTAAGTTGAAGCTCGTGGTGACCCCAGCTGTACTACGGACTTAGTTTCGTTTATAGCATAAAGTTAGGCATTTGCTTCTGGCGAATTAGATTATGATTCGAAAATTATAAAAGTAGGGTAACCATGTGGATATTATCGACGGCTGAAAAACGTGCATGTTATCAAACGGTTCGTTTTCCACAGACCCTTGATTTCGAGCTATTTTCCAAAATCTATGATAATTTCGTGGAAAAGCCGTGCACAATTTAAAAAACACGGATGGCCTACCGCCTGTCAGCCTTCATCACTTCTGCACAAATTATATCTCGTGCCCTTCATTGGTCATCATGTGCACGTTCGTGTGTGTTGGAGGAGGGGCTCTGTAAGGAAGTCTGAAAGAAGAGGCAGATTTTTTCCAGTTGTGTACTTTCAAATTCTAGCGCACTCGAGCTGGTTTCTCCAAAATTACATACCCCACCTTTAAGACATCGTCTAGGGTTTTCAATCTTTGCAAAAATAAAATGTATGAACAGCCTGTACCTTAAGACTTGGATCTTCATAGGAACTCAGTTTGGGCCATTATCTCTGTCTGTGTTACCCAAAGGCATAACATAACTGCTAATAACATCTTCTGTGTAGGCCCTGAGGAGCTGCTGGGGGACGGTGGAGCAGGTGAGGGGTTACTATGTTAACTGGAGGATGCTGAGGGACGTCAAGAGAAGACAGATGGCATTTGACTTTGCTGATGAGAGGCTGCGGATCAATGCATTGAGGAAGAACAACATCCTACCAAAAGAACTCCAGGTACGAAGCAATATATAGTTAAACTGTAACTTTGTATCAGTTCATCATAATCAAATATTTTGTGATCATTAGTGAAGATTTTTGAAAATGTATAAATGCACATTGAATTACTAAACTTTAAAAAAAATTGTTGCAGGAAGTGGCAGATAAAGAAATTGCAGCATTACCTAGGGACAGCTGCCCTGTCAGAATACGCAACCGATGTGTGATGACTTCCAGACCTCGGGGAGTGAAACGGAGGTGGCGACTGAGCCGAATCGTCTTCCGTCACTTAGCTGACCACAACCAGATGTCTGGGATACTGAGGGCTAGGTGGTAACTGGGGGATCCTTTGGACACTACAGTCAAATTGGATCATGAAAAGCAAGCTGTTTTATTGTTTATTGTCAGGAGAGCAGGACTTTAGCATTCAACACAAATGTGATATGACCTTTTAGTGTTTGGACTCTTTGGAGGTATTGATCAAAGCCTGGAAGATGTTAAGCTATAAAGTGAATCCACTCAGATGACTAGAGCACATTTCCAATCTTTGTAAATGCAGAGGCTGTCCTAAATATCTTCCTTTTCTCTGATTAGTTGTTCCCCTATCAGGGAGTTGGTTTTCCTTCTAATGGCTCTTCTGAATAAGAAAAAACGACAACATATATTATATTTAAAGAGTTAAAATAAAACCCTCCAAAGAGGTAATTGTTCTTGTAACTTGAAAAATAACTGATGAATAAATATTATTGTACTTTAATAACCTTTTTCACATGTGTCTGTTTGTATTGAAGGAGTATAAGTAGCCATGTGTTATGGGGAACACTATAATTCTCTTCCCCTTGGACAAGACTGTTTGATATTACACTTCAAGATTCCAATGATATTGCATTGAGCCACAACCTTTCATTTTAAATATGATAAATCAAACTGTACAATTATGTATGAGTTCAATAGTATAAACGTTTTGATGCAAAGTAATTGATACATGGAATTAAATTGAAGACTTTGCATCAATCTGAGGCATACAAATAAGTATAGCCATGTCATTACTTCAAAGAGCATTTGGTGACACTCTTTAAAGGTCACCTATTATGCTAAATCCACTTATTTCCTGTGCTATACATAAACATGTGTGCCCTCTGTGTAAAGAGATTCTGAAAGTTTCAAGAAGAAAAAATTCGCCCACTTTTTGTGCTGATCCATTTATATAAAAACCTGTCAATGCACGGTCTGTTTGGTATTTGGAGCCAAACACTTCAGAGACATATTTTGTATATAACTGAGACCTATAATAAAGTAATGAAAAACAATATAATAGGGGACCTTTGAAATTGTACATGTCATGAATGCTAACACTCCGGTCCAGTAGGTGGCAGCAGCGTGTAAAGGCTGCCTACCAAAAGACGAAGAAGAAGGAGAGCACTGCAGGCTGGAAGAGGACACTTTCAACTTAGCTAGCATAACTGATAAAGCCTAAATGGATCTTACTGAACAGGTGAACAGCATGTTTTAATCAGTTTTGTAGGCACCGAAAAGAAAAACAAAGAGTTTGTGTGTCATTTTCTAACTGAGATTCCTGGGATAAGCTATACATATGTTATATGACTCCTGTAAAATACAATGCTACGTTAACTAGCGTTATTTTATGTAGGAACTAGTAAGCAAACTACTGCGACCCGGTAAAGTCGTTTCGCCTTTGATCTGTTGTTAAGCAATTTGTACATTTTAACAATAACTTGCACAAATGTGTCATGTTACTTGCAATTATAATAACATGACTTTGTCCTGACGGGGGGTATTTTTTTCGGAAAGTTAGCCAGCTAGCTAGCAGGAGGCTAGCTTTGACTGGAGTATTGTTACCAGAACATTCTACCAACGCTATCTGATCAAATCATTGCTTGGTTAGGATGCCTATCATGACTACCGGTATAAAAGTTATATTCTTCATGTGTAGTGTTAGAGCACTTGCTCTTACAATCAACCCATTTTTGCAAAATAACACATTTACTATGAGATGTGCTATTGTGAATGGCGCTTGAGTATCCAATTTTACATTACCAGTATCCGGATGATTTGCATTATCTAATATTCGGGCAGAAAGACGAATTTACAACATCAACAAATGTGTTTTTCGCTGATACAGTGTCATAGATCCAGGGAGAAAAAACACCTTAATTATTCTATATACAGTGGATCCTTTGTACAACCTCTTTGAAGCATATATTGACTATTTTTCATTTAAGATATGACGTGACAAATTGATAAATCCATGGAGAAAAATTATTCGACACAAATATATATATTTTTATGAGATATGAATCGGTCAGTGGTCTAATTCTTTCCCCAATACAGATCAACCAGTTGGAGGCGGATTTGGTGGAGCTGGGGTCGCTCCTGGAGAAGGCGGAGAGGAAGAGAGCGCAGGAGCTGCTACAGCAGGAGCAGAAGAAGGTGGAGAAGGAGCTCGCAGTGAAAAGACAACAGAAGGAGAAACAAGACAAAAGAGAGGCAGACCCAACTGCTGCCTCCAAAGCAGCGTACACAGTCAAGATCACCAACTATGGTACGGTGCCTTTTAGTAAGACAACCACTCATTTGTGAGAAAGTGCAAACGTTTAAATGTTTCCTCTTTTTGCCTCTTTTATACAGCATGGGACCAGTCAGAAAAATTTGTCAAAATCTACCTTACAATGAAGGATTTGCACAAAATCCCACCAGAGAATGTAGAGGTCAGCTTTACAGAAAGGTACAGTGAAGGGCCAATGTATTATACAGTGTATACATCATAATATGCCAACCATACATTCTAATGCATACAAAATACTACACACTAATACAACATACAATGAATTGTATTTTCCCATCTTTTATTTTGCAGGTCATTTTCGGTGTTGGTAAAGGATCTCGATGGGAAAAACCATCAGATGGCAATGCACAACATGTTATGTCCAATCAATGACAAGGACAGCTACAAAAAGGTGAATAAAGCCTATATTAATTAATTAGAGGAATAAAGTATGTATAATAGAGTTACACTAATAATAATAATATATAGCATTTGTATAGCGCTTTTCCTAATGCTCAAAGACGCTTCACATTAGGGCTGCTCAATTATGGCAAAAATCATAATCTCGATCATTTGGGTCAATAATTGTAATTGCGATTATTAAATGCGATTATTCATTGACTTTGAATAAATCCATTTATTGGAGAGAAAAAAATGTGAACAGAATTTTTTTAACAGTTGATTACCCTGAATTCAACTGAAAAACCAAAAAAAAA